CCTTTCTTTGAGCCCCCCTGCCGATGATGCGTCCGACATTGGGAGGGCCGTACCGTCGCGCTTGGCTCCTCCCCCTTCCAGCTCCTTGGCGTGCTGGTGCCAGCTGGCATCCCCAGCCACCAGGGCGCTCGCACGTCCAGCGCCAGCTAAGAGCGCCACCGTCACTTCTCCCTCGCCCACTGGGGATGGTGTGCTTGGCGTGCAGGATGGCAGAACATCCTCCCAATGGTTGCTGGCCACTGCGGAGTATGCACAGCAGAGCCGGGTCTGTGCCGGCACCGCCACTTCTCCCCAGAATGCCAGGGATGGTGCAGCTGGCGTGTGGGGTGCCCAGGCGTCCCCGTCACACCCAGCAAAACAGAACAGTCATAGGGTTGCTCTAATTTGCACCTACTGGTAGCGGTTCTGAAGGAGCAGTTCCACTAGCTGGGGATTGCCAGGACACTAGTGATTTGGCCAAACTCCATTCTATTGGACACAATTGCTGAGCGGGAGAGGGTAGGTATAACTCAGGTAGCTGTACATAGCTGGGGTCCTTCCAATGCCAGGGGAATCCTCTTGTATGACTCATACTAAAATGACTGTGTTTTAATACATTTAATATCCTCTCCCTTTAAAACCTGAGAAATGTACATGTGTAGGCTGAATCAGCTCTGTTCGTCCCACCCTGTATGATTTTGTCACTAGCCTTTCATTGATAAGATCTGGCCTATGCATCATACGTCTTCTGTAACACCTCTCCCACCACCTACGGTAGCTCCAACATAATTAGAGATGTGCAAAGCCAGGGCTGGTATTGCAAATCCTTGTCAATCAGGTTTGGGTTTTGCAAAGCATCACCCACCAAATCCAGGAGTGGTTCTAGTTTGCAGTGTGGGATTAATATCCTGTGGTAATACCGAGTGACTACATTTTACTGGCCTCTTGTTTCCACTGCTGGGATTTGTAATTCACAGAGAGCGGAGGGTAGATCTCAAATTGTTCAGTTGACCATCCTTGCAATGTCAAGAAAGGCAGGTGATTCTGCTCTTTTCTATCCCATCTGAGAGTGACAAAAACATACCATTTAAGAACTACTGGTAGGACAAGAATGAGAAAGATGGACATGCCATTTATTTTCAGCAGAATATGTTCGTGTTTTACGTTGATAATTCTTTAAGATACTGTATATAGGTGAACAGAAAAACAGCAATAGAATACTCTACCTTAGTACAACCAGCTGAGTTGCAGTTGCTGCTGGACCCATAGTGAGGGCATTTTATGGTTGGTTTTTAATTGTGACCACTACAACCACCTTTCCGGCTCACTGCTCTCCAGTTACGTCTACATTGCACAGTTATTTTGGAATAAGCTATTCTGGAATAGTTATTCCAAAACAGCTTATTTTGAAATTGCACATCTACACTGCAGGAAAGCCTTAAAATGAGTCCAAGGCTGGCTTCCCTAATGTAGAGATGCTATCTTGATTTAAAGCCCCAGAAGGAATAATTTAGAATGGCCCTGGTCAGGGACTATTTCAAAATAGCAGAAGTGGAGTATCTACATATGCCTTATTTCGAAATAGCTATTTCAGAATAGGCATTATTCTTTATAGAATGAGGTTTACAGAAGTCGGATTAAGCCGTCTATTATTTCAAAATTGCTTCAAAATAACAGAATTGCTGTGTAGACGCTCACATAGTTATTTCGGCTGTTATTTCGAAATAACTTTGCTGTGAAGACACACCCTTATTGTTCCTCCATTTGTTTTCCTGTCTCCACCAGACCAAACACAAGCTTCTTGTTTTCCGTTCCTTTCACCATTTAGCTTTGTCTCACCTACCACTCATGCAGTCTGTCAGGACATCAGCCCCACCTCTGCTCTGCAAAGTGGCACAAGCCATTAGCACACACTTGTTCCCTGAGAATTGTTGCACTTGATCCTATGCTCCATAACCATATTCATGGGCAAACACTGTCAAACCCATAAAATACCTTTTTTCCTCCCTGAAATTGCTCCTTAAGACTTCTCTTTGCCATGACGACTACAGAACACTACCACACTCATGGCTAAGCAGATAGCAAGCTGAGACTGCTAATTTTTTTATGAAAAATTGCTTCCTATCCCATCTTACCAGTCCCCACTTCCACACTTTTTTGTCTGTTCCCTATTGCTTTTGATGTCATCCTAAGAACATGATTTGTCTGGAGCAGGAACAAATAAAAATGGTAGCTTGTACATGACCTAGCACAGTCAGGCCCTAATATTTGATTGTGAGATGCTCCCATTATGAAATAATAACAAAGACTCTTATCTTGCACCAGATCTTTCGCACCTCATTGTGAAGGTGTGAGTTCTCTGCTCTTCAGTCACATATTAGGGGTGGCAGTATTTCTTGATCGTTTAGTTTTCAAAATGGAAAAAGCACAGGATAATCATTCTTCTTTATCCCTCTGTGTCAAAGTATTGTTATGATTTCACCCCATACACATTTTTTCATAGTGGGAAAAGAGGTTATTCATTTGTTTCTCATTTTACCAAAATAACTTTATTTCTGAAGGTGATTTTCAAAAAAGCATGTAAACTATAAAGGCTAAGAGGTGAACATTTCAGAAAAATATTAGTATATGAAAATAGGAGGCTGTTGAGGAAAATGTTATGCTACTTTAACAATGGATATAGGTCTCTTCCTTGGCCTAATTATAATTCATCTGATTCCTGTTTTGCATTTTGTCTCAGATGTACAAGATAAAAATCTTTGTCAGACTTGCAGATGTCTCAGGTGTGCAAGGAAAATCTTTGTCCATCTGAAGCATATTTCCAGACTTCCTTTTTTTTCTTTTTTCTATTACCTACACTTTTATATTGTAATGAGATGCTAAAATGCCTTGTAACTCTTAATTCAGGTAATCTTGACAAACACGTAGAACTAGAAAACCTGGTGGCCCGGTTTCTTGATGTAGAAGCTGCTATGGTGTTTGGCATGGGCTTTGCTACTAACTCTATGAATATTCCAGCACTGGTTGGGAAGGTGAGTATGACTATTACCTGCTAATTGTTTTGCCTACAGTTATTCTACTTTGTGCACTTGGGGTTTATTTAGACTATGCCGTGGGAATTTGCATATCTTCTTCTGATCTCACTTTTGAAAACAGAGCTTTCGAAAGTGAAAGTCATCAAGATGCAGGTTTTTTCTGGCAAAACCCCCCTTTTTCAGAAAGCCACTATTCCTCAAAAAATGAGGTTTATGTGGCTTTTCGAAAAAGGGAGGGCTTGCCAGAAAAAACGTGTCTTGATTACTTTCACTTTTGAAAGCTCCGGTCATCTGAAGAAGTGGGCATCCACAAAAGCTCATGATACCGTCTACATGTTTTGTAAGTCTTTCAAGTGCTACCAGACTATTTGTTGTTGTAAAGAAAAGCTGTCCATAAGTACAAGCACAAAATCTAGGCTATCTTACAGAAGGCTGATCTGGTAACGGCCTTATGACCCACAACATGTTCAGGCTGCTAGTAAGGGGAATTTGTAACCTCACTTGAGTTAGAGATGATTATGGAACAACATTGAGTCATTCTTCGAGCTGATTGCTGATATCCCAGAGTAGTGACTGCTCAAACTTTTATGTTCAGGACCTTGTGAAGCCTGAGGTTGAAAGCAAAGTGCCTGGAGGCTTGAGAAGAGAGAGAACTACAAAGTCATATTTGTGAAAAATACATATGTCATTGAAATTGCTATTACGTTAAAAAAAACTTTCTCCGATAGTCTAATGGAGGGAAATATGAGTGACAGTGGAGGGACACACTGATGGGATAATGATATTCCTCATTTGTAGAATCTGAGCTTTATGGGTCAGTCTTAGAAGGAGCAGAATCTCTAGTATTCTTGTTCAAGTGTACAACTGTATGGATCCCACCATAGGTATGTATGCGCTCCATGCATGAGCTTGGAATCTTCTGCCAGACCAATTGTTATGAACTGGAATCTGGCATGAACTGGAAAGAAATGAGACCCACCATCAAATCAGTATTTCTCCAATGTAGCACATCACTGAGGGTATGTCTACACTGCCACCCTAGTTCGAACTAGGGTGGCTAATGTAGGCATTCGAAGTTGCAAATGAAGCCCGGGATATTTAAATCCCGGACTTCATTTGCAACTTCGAATGCCTACATTAGCCACCCTAGTTCGAACTAGGGTGGCTAATGTAGGCATTCGAAGTTGCAAATGAAGCCCGGGATTTAAATATCCCGGGCTTCATTTGCATCTTGCCGGGCACCGCCATTTTTAAATCCCTGTTAGTGCGGACTCCGTGCCCACGGCTACACGCGGCACGGAGTCCGCACTAACAGGGATTTAAAAATGGCGGTGCCCGGCAAGATGCAAATGAAGCCCGGGATATTTAAATCCCGGACTTCATTTGCAACTTCGAATGCCTACATTAGCCACCCTAGTTCGAACTAGGGTGGCAGTGTAGACATACCCTGAGAGATTTATTCACAACCCAAAGCATTGCTCAGTGCCCAAACTTTTATTCCAAGGGAAACATGAATCCAGGATCCTTACCAGATGTCTCCTTTCTACAATGAATCCAAGGTTTCTTTTACACCTTCCCAACAATCCCAGAGTGATCACCAAAGAAAGATGAGACCAGATGAGTCTCATCATTTTAGCCCCTACTGGCCAATGTTGTCCTGACTGCTACATACCCATTCACTAGGCTGCTAGATCAGATCTTGATGGACTTGAATATCAGCTCTGATATGAAATCTGGGATAGCTGTGCTCTGATCTCTGTTCAAGTGAGGTAATTTGTTAGAGCTGAGAAGAATCTGTCTCCAACGTTTATATCTGTCCCTGAAACAGAATATTGGGTCCAAATATCCCCAGACTAAGAACGTTTCCAATTCACATTTAAACTTTGCAATGTGGTTGGTCATCTATACACGTGCATGAACTTGTCAATGTTATAAAGGTTTATGTGGATACTTATTGTGATTCTTCTCCACAGGGTTGCCTCATTTTAAGTGATGAGCTGAACCACACTTCTCTTGTTCTTGGTGCAAGGCTTTCCGGTGCTACCATTCGAGTCTTCAAACACAACAGTGAGTATTGATGCTGGAGATGTTTGGTTGAGAGATATTCCAACCAGACAGAACTGCTTATACACATTTTGCCATCACTTAATCTGAAAATATTTTATAAAGGGCAGGAGATCAGCCCCTCCATGTTATAAAGGATTTCTGGTTTTGGATGGAGGAAAATGAAATGCATATGATAACAGTTTGCCATTAACAAAAGACCATGACCTGTTTATCCATGTTGGAGCTTAATTTTCAAAAATAGTTCTCACCAGTGCTTTTTTTGTAAGAAAAAAGGTGTCGGTACTCCAGTCTCAAAGTTGTTGGGGGGCGGGAAAAAAACGTGCTGGGGTCGAAATGCAGTCACGGTCCCTTTAAGAGCTGCGTGTCCCAAGTGGACTTCCGGCAAAAGCCAAGCTGCCCTAGGAAATAGGTGCCGGTACACCACAGGGGAATCCCATTCAATTACAGTATGATGGGAAAATAGGTGCCAGTACGTTGTCCTGGGGCATACCATCACAAAAAAAGCACTGGTGCTCACCCTAACCGTTCTTCTGGTTTGGCACATGGCTGAGATTCCATATTGTGCTGGAGACATAGATTTATAATTACAAAAGAAAATCTGTACAAATGACTAGGGTGTTTCAAACATGCCCAGCGCTAGTCTAACTCTGTTAGCAACCTAAATTTCTGGCGTGTTTTTTCAAGTATCCAGAGAACTGAGATTTAAGCATCTGACCTCATACTGACTTCACCAGAATAGGCTCTTGGGGCAAGACGGATACTAATGCTGCACTCTGATTCTGTTGTTGCGTAGTGGTCTGTAGCAGCACCACCTACCAGTGTGGCTTCAGGCGAGCCGCTCCCCATTAACTTCAACATAGTTTTTCAAGTGTCAAGTAACACCCCCACTTGTGCCTAAAAATAGGTTTATTAATAAAGTTCACAAAGAGACATAAGAACGCCCATGCTGGCTCACAGCCCTGGGTGTAGGGTTCTTAGTCCTGGCTCTGCTGAGATTTTGTTCTAGCAGACTTGACCTCCCTCCACACCCCAGCTTCCCTAGCTAGCTTCAGCTCGCTGTTGGTCTGCACACCAGGCCTTTTCTGTGAGAGCTAAGGAGAGTCTTGCTCTGTGGAGCAGTTCATGTAGCCTTTCTGCTCATTTGAACCTCTCCCTGATTTTCGTTGAGCGTCAACTCCCAAAGTTTTCTGCCTGCGTGTCTGTCTGTCTGTCTGTTTCTCTCTCTGTCCATAGTCTTCTGTTTTACTTCTGCCCTCAGAAAGCCTGAGGTCGCTACCTCACCTGCCTGTCAGGTGTCTTTGCTCATTTTCTCCACCTGGGGAGGTGTGTTTTCTGCACCACACATGGGGCTGGACCCATCTCCCCTTAAAGGGCCCGTTATCCTGTTACTTGGTCTTTTAAAATGTTTACAACATCGCCTTTTACTTAATGCTGCTGTGGCATTTGCAGTGCTCCCTCTACCTGCAAACTACTAGTATAAAGAGTATAGCATAGTCACTGCATAATGTTTACCTAAATTCTGTTCTGTATTGTGTCATGTACCGTGTAGGCAATAAAACAGTGGTGGTTGTTCACCTGGGCTAGCCCCTAGTGGGCTGCAGCTACTATATTTATCTGCACCTCTTCAGGAATGGGTGATCGCAGCTCCCATTGACCAGGAACAGCAATCTGCAGACAATGGGAGCTGTGATTCCCCCATACCTGTGGAGGCACAGGTAAATATGGCAGTGGGGGGGCATCGAGGGCTATCCCTGGCGGACCGGATCTAGCTTGTGGGCCAGTATTTGCCCACTCCTGGTGTAAACAGTTACTACTTTATCCCAACCCAAAGGAGCCAGGACGCCCAGTGGGGCAGAAGGATTAGAGGGTGGCTTGGCAGAAGGGGGGCCAAAAATGACCTCCCCTGATCTGGCAAAATCCCTCATCCGGGACCCGTCAGGTCCCAAAAGTGCCAGACCAGGGAGGTCCAATCTGTAGTTGTCTTGCAGCACAAAGCAAAAGTATGGTTTGCTTTGTAAACGGAACTTAAGTGATTTTTTTAAAAACAGTATGTCCAGGGATTTGGCATCAATTTAAAAATATGTGCTGTCGAATTTGCAAAATCAATTGAGTCAGAGAACAGTAGCATTGTAGCAGCTACTCCCGCATCGTTACATTCATAATATGTATACAGAGAATGCCTTGCCCAAAAAAATCATGCTATATTATTCTACACTAAGAATTTACATAAGTTTAGTTGCGTCTCTCAGGAGTGTAAAAAATCCACACTGCGTAGACAGTGGTAAATAATATTTTTAGCATAGACAAGCTTTTAGTTATATAAATGGTTCTTCATTTAGCTGCCTCAGAAACTTAGTCTTCTGCAGGTATTTGAACCTATTGTCCCAGTTTGACTAGCTGTATCAGCTCCAAAACTGCAATGCAGTTAAGCCTGTGCATGGCTTTAAGTATATGGAAAGTACAATTGACTTTAATAAGACTACTCATTTATTTACAGTTATGCACAGGCTTAAGGGCTTTGCTGGGACAGAGCCTTGATGTTTGAACTGCTAAGGTAATTGGCCACATGCAAGCTAAATGTTAGACCTTTTGCTTTCATTCGCACATTTGGTGGAAATAGGCCAACCCGTCCAAGTCACATTGCTGGCTGTAGGGGGGAAGCTTCTCTGTGCTGTATCAGCTCTGTGCATAAATAGAAAACTCTGCATCCCATATAGCCTGTTCAGAGCCTCTAATGAACATTAACCTGACTAAAATTGTAAAGTGCTTTTGTCTTTGTAAAAAAAAAAAATCACTCTATCACAACCTCACCTGGGGCAGATGTTGCTGCAAAGAATGGGGACTGGTTTCTGTCTTGGCTGATGAAGGGAGCAAACACCCTTCTGAAAGGGGTTTGTGAGTTGCCCTCTGTTGGAGGATGTCAAAATCCCCAGAGCCCACGTCAAAGACCTTCTTCTCCATCCCTGGAAACCATGCTGCAAAGGAGAGAATTGGAGCCAGCTATGAAGCTGCGAGAGCCCTAAAGATAAGGTCCGCCAGGAAGACAAACAGCAACGGGTATCTAGGGCTCTCTAAAAAAGTCACTTATTAAACACGTAAATGGAGTCAAATTATCAGCTAATGTACATTGTCACCATTCCACTGGAGCTGTGCCAGTGTATACCAGCATCGAGTTTCACCCGGTATTATAGCATTGTAAACATAGCATGAAAAGTCAAAGACCTTTGTGCTACATAATACTCAACTAGAGACGAAAACATCCTTTCTATTCCGTTGATTGCCAGCACAAATCGAGACTGGTTGGCAGGCTTGTCAATGACATTTTCAAAGCATGCATCCCTGTCAAAGAGGAAGGTAGTGTTAATGGGTGGGGGAAGTCACTGCTTTTCACTGCCTAGCTCCCTTTTACAGGGAGCGTAAGATCCTGAATTAAACTGTTCAGATCACGTTTACTTTCCCTCTGGCTTCTCTGGTTGCATGTGCAAAGAAGAGTCATTGAACGGAAGAGTAAGGTGTGAAGAGGCTGTTGCTTTTATGGTTTTGTTGCCTGCTGAAAATGGCTATCGATATGTGGGGGAATACTGTCATGAATCCACGGAAAGTTTTCTAGTCCACATACTTCCTGAATTACTATAAGGAAAACATGTGCAAGGTGTGTTCAGTACTCGCCCCATCCATTAAGATTAGCATTGTACACACAGTGCAGCAAGCGAGGACATACATCCTTCTCCCCACCCCCAAATAAAATGGTGGGAGGCCTCCAAAAGATCCTGTATCTTGACAAATGCATGTTTCCCCTCTAATTCCACAATTAAAGAAGTAGAAACTGCTTTCAAAATTGAGATGGAGTCATTCTGGGAAAGAGAAATCTAAATACTCCTAGAGTGGAGGGGAAGAGACATGACTGCCGCTTTTTTCCGGCTCTGGGCTTTGCCGGAAAAAAGTGCCAGTCTAGATGGGGATCTTTTGGAAAATAAAGCCTTTCCGGAAAGATCCCTTATTCCTTTTTTTAATAAGGGATAAAAAAAAAGGAATAAGGGATCTTTCGAAAAAGGCTTTATTTTCCGAAAGATCTCCGTCTAGACTGGTGCTTTTTTCCGGCAAAGCCCCGAGCCGGAAAAAAGCAGCAACCATGTTCATGCAAATGAAGCGGGGGGGGATTTAAATCCCCGCTTCATTTGCAATTGCGCTGTGTCTAATTTGCATCCCTTTTACGGAAAAGGGATGCAGTCTAGACACAGCCCCAATGTAACTGGATTTAAATGCTTTACAGGACACAAGTGGACAACTTGCAAACTTTTGGCTAATTCTAACTTCTGCTTCAATATTATATTACATTTTATTTAATATTCAATATTATATTACATTTTCATTTACAGATTTATTGACTGATATATGCACATAGTATCATAGAGCTGGAAGAGACCTCAGGAGGTCATCAAGTCCAGACCCCTGCTCAAGGCAGGACCAATCCCAACTAAACCAACCCAGACAGGGCTTTGTCAAGCAGAGACTTAAAAACCTCTAGGGATGGAGATTCCACCACCTCCCTAGGTAAAAACTTGTGTCTATCCTAGGCAATTGGGAAATTTCCTCTGGTCCCTCTGCCTCACAGCAAGTTCAAGTAATATATTGTTAAAAACACCAGAAACTGTTGGATGGAGTCTTGTCTTTATCTGGGTTCTTACCAGATCTTCTAGCCCACCAGTAGTAGCCCCCTACGTAGCAGCAATAAGGCAATGAAAAGTTGAGAGGGACGTGATTCTATTACAGTGGATAATAAGAACATCCAAAGTTATAATAGTTGATAATAACAGAAGTTTTGGAAGGGATATTAAACTTGATGCTTCTGGGTATAAGCCAGTCTCATAACTGTTAGAGATCAGGATGACTGTGTCATGTCACGGCATGTTACTCCCATATCAACCTATTGTGTGTTTCTTGAACCTTCTTTGGAGCATCTGGTACTGTCCACTGTAAGAGAGACAGGATACTGGGCT